CAAGCAAAATATTGGATTTGCAAGTGTTTTGTACCACAGATGAGTCAAAAAGAGCTGCTGTTGCCCGCGGCTCTTGCATTCGCCCCCTGGCCGAAGTCAGTGAACTCTACGCTTCTTCTTTACAATCATCATGACGAGTCTGACTCCACTCAAAGGTATCTCTTTTAAACACTGATATTTTGTCTACCTTTATTTACTTCAGAAATATAAAATGGATTTAAACCTCATTTGGCGTCTCAAAGGCAAGTTTATGCCATTGTCAGAGTAGTGCTATGGACATGCTATTGCCTGCATCCGCAATGGTCACACACGAAGGGCTTTGAGTGATGCGAGGAACTCATCCCACGACTCCAATGAAGGCGCGATCTCGCGACACATTTACATTGCCTCAATAGTTAACCAAAAGGCATCCGAAACAGCACTCGTTGGTATGCACTTGACGAGGTCCCCTCAACTGGGTTAAGTAAAACGCGATTTTAAAGGTACTCTTAGTTTTTGCTTTAAAAGAAAGAAATAAAACAAATTTAATAAATTTTCGGTTATTTTAGCTGAATTATGGGATTCACGGTACAAAGATTGATTGCCGTGTTTTTGCCACAGCCAGCACATGTGGTTGAAGGCGAAAGTAACAATGAGTGTAAAATTGATGCGAATCGACGCCATTCTCTTCTCTAACGCATCTCTTGTGCATGGTGGGGATAGCGATAAATAAGAAAGACATTCCTAGTTAGGTTTTTACTGCAGTAATGATATCGCACTCTTACCATACCTAAATTCACCCCCCTTTTTATTATTATTTGATTCTGGTAGCAGTATTCTGTTGCATTGGCAGCAAAATAAGGTTTTTAAGTCCTACTATATCCTTCCATTGCACATTGTACGCCAGTATCTCTTTTGCGTGTTGCGTAAGTGCTGCCTTTGATTCTCGTATTTGAACGTGGCATCACGAATGTTCAAATCAAACCGGCAATTTTTTTCTGCCCTTAAAGAAGTGGTGCTGCTCCACCCTCTCACTGGCATAAAGCGTAAAAAGAAACAATAACAGATTTGTATTTGATACCTTACACACTTTAACTCAACATTATTCTGTGCAAAATAAACCATCACAGGGAAATGCTAACCGGTTCTGCCCCATAAGTTACATCTCAAGTCACTCCCTCTTGTGGCAGTCTAAATCTAAAATGGGAAACATTAAAATGTAATAAATGATGTTAAAACTGGATATTTAGGTTTATGCCGTGTTCAAAAATATGGGTAATAAATGGAAAGATTT